TAATAGTATTAATTTAGCTTTTTAAAGTCATTTACTATGGGAGAACATTATTTTAGCAAAATCTAAAAATCGCTTGCGTTTACGAGGGTAGTAAATATTCAGCAATTTGTCTGGGTGGAATGAATCGATTCCGTAATGTTAATGATGCACTATTGCACATACCTTCGTGACTCTAACGTGTTCAGTCGCGTGTTACTTCAACAGACCTTGACATCACCTATCCTATCTTGCAGGGCATGAAATTACTGAGACCTTCTGGAAAACCAATACTCACTTCTTTCCCGATATACATATACTACGCATCAGATATTTATTTGAAATATGTTGCAAAATGTTATGAAATCAGGGGGAAATGTAAACATATATCGTTCTAATGAATATTTTAATATTGTAAACATTTCTTCCCGTGAATTGTATTATTTTTTTCTAAATCATAGAATTGGACCTTTTAACGTGGTACAATTTTCGCGACACACTATTGTTTTCTGAACGATTTTAAATTGAAATGTTATCAAATGTTGCTCCAACCACTGTTTACCTTTGTTCATAATTCAATGAAGAATGGTACAAAAAAGGGAGAGTAGGTATTTCAGAGCTCAAGGAAATAAGTCCAGATTTGACTTTCGCCGCAAACTTCACATATCTTTTTTACTGTTTTTTGACCGCACATGCATCTAATTCAGAACGATGAATTTCGACGCGAATGATGAATGCATCAACAGAGCGGTGTAGAAAAGGCAATATTGCATACTTATTTACTCGTACATACGCAAGACGCGTCACCATCCAGCGAGAACGAGCGACCATTCCAGGCGTGTTTGGCGTCGCGGACGTGGGCGGGCCGATGGCGTGGTGGCGGCGGAGGAAGATACCATCTCGCTCAATGCCCCTGGCGTTTTTTCGGTACGAACGCTTCGCTCGCGCACCGACTGCCCCAAATCAGCAGCCACGCGCCCTCATAGGAACTTTGTCACAACTCCTTGGAATGAGTGCACAGACTTCTCTAGCTCTTTCGTTTTCACCTGATGCACAAGACAGAATTCAAAATCTGAGTGGTGTTCTATTCTCAGATTTAACGCTTCTATTTTATTTTTACTTTCTCGCACATTGCTTACCTGGTATAGAGAAAGAATTGCAATGCTGCCGAAAAACGGCGAATTTTTGACACAAAAACTCTCTTTCTTGGGCCCTGGTAACGAAAAAGTAAATAAACCTTGTTCTTGCGTAAATTACTTTTTCTAACACGTTGTGCAGTGAGGGTCAAAGTTTTGTGAGTCATTGATACTGATTAATTGGTTTACGGCAAAACGTTTGTCCGTCTGTCTGCGTTCATCTGTTTGCCGAGTTCATCATGCGAACAAAGCTAGTGGCTAAACCGTACGCAGAATCTTCATTAAAATCGTCAATCGATATTACCGATGCTGCGGACCCTTGAATTTGAATAGGATGTTTTGCTTTTTAGGTGTACTTGTAACGCCTCAATATTTTCGAAATTTTCGTTAAAATGGCTCAACATTTTTTCTTTAATTTTTTTCGGATAGAGCAAAATGCACTTAAATGAAAATGTAACATATGCCATTTCTTTAAGTCACCAATTTTTGAAAATTGGAAAAGTACAAAATTTTTCAGTCTTCCTAAAACTACAGTACTGAAAAAACGTTTTTCTAAAATTAAAATATATTTGTTAAAACCAGATCTTAAAAGAATATCATTATCATAATAATAACAATAATAATATTAATATCAAATATATAGTTTTGAGTGGTACACAGGCAATTTTTAAACAATTATTTTCTTCATACATATTTTTTTTTCTTTACATTTTCTGCTCGTATGAATCAAGGGACTGTAAAATATTGGTGCTGGTCTCATATCCGACAAACTTTCCGTAATTTTGAAAATAACAAGACCAATATCATGCAAACGTAAATAATATTGTTAATATTTTTTGTTAAATGAAATCTGTTCCAAAAAGTCAGTTCATTGAAAAAGATCATGTACGTTTAAAAAATGATTAGTTAAGAATAATTTTGCCAATTTCAAATTGCAAATTCGAATTTCTCGCGCTGCATTTGCTAAAGTCTTTCTCGAGAGATCAGATTTCAATACCAAAATGACAACGCCACGACACTGGCAGTTTCTCTGTGATCCCTATTATGAAAACTTTTAAATACAACTTGTACTGTACAATTGGTAGTACGTTTCTTGGTATGGATGTAGATGGATGCAAAAGCATCAACAAACAGGCCATGCACTGCGTGCGATCTTGCCTTCCTCTTTATTGTACTAACCTTATCCCTCACTTACACAGTTACACTTACAATCATTACTCTAACACACATGCCGGGAGGCTAGTCGGAAGGGCCTGTCGGGAATTTAGAACGTGTCTCGACTGGGTCGGTGCCTCGCTGATGGGAGATACTGTTGGGAGATAATCCCGCCAGTCGACGTGCAGATCGGTACCGTATTTCCCACGGTGTACCACACTAATACGACTAATGACCATCGAGATAGGTGGCTCAGGGCATCAACTGATGTCACCCGAGTTCCTCTGAACGGGAGGTCCTAGGTTCGAAGTCCGAGGTTCGAGTCATATTGTTGACTAGATTTTCGACTTTAGCTAAATAGCTTCTTGTAGGTCGAATTCAGTATGGAGGAGAATTTTACTGGCCGGCTGATCTGATCAGTAGTTTTCCGTGTTTCTCCGATCAATACCAGGCGAATGCCGGAGCAGACCCGAACCAGCGGCCCATAGATCGCGCTCGATCTTTCCTTCCCCTTCCTTGTCCTATCGTCCACCCTTACTTGTATACACTTACATTTATGTAATTACATTTATGTATACACTTCACTAACACACATGTGGGAGGAACCGTTCGGAAGCTTAGATCTTGTCCCGGTCAAAGAGTATTATCCCGGCTGGGGTGGTGCTCCATTGATGGGAGATATCTGGTTAGGGAAACCCCGCTAGCCGACAGGTAGCCGGATCACACCATACAGCGGGAGAAGATCACCGCCACATCCCGAGGAAAAACCTGCACTGCATTTACGAGACTAATGACCTTAGCAGTTGGCGCGTCCAGAAACACGAATCAATCGAGCTGCATGGGGGACGCAGCTGCAGAGGGTACGTGAAAAGTGAGTGATAGCAGCGAATGCACGGTACAATGGCGAGGCGTACAGTCATCAGTAGATGCGGCGATGACCAAACAAACTTACAAAAGCAATGCATTATGATCGTATCGTATTCCATTGTACGACAATAAGCACTCCAAACATCGCTGCATTCGGAGAATCTCGGCAGTTCCCTGCCATGTGTGGTGAAATGCGCCATTAGGTGTAACTTGTGAATGAAACAGTGCTTTGGTTCGGTATGCGTCCGGATTCTTTTACTGGGTTTGTTTGCGATTTTAGGTTTTTTAGTTGTCATGCACTGTGACGTAATTGGAATATATCGTAGTTGTGCTGAAACACAATCTCTTTGGTTTACTTACATTTGAAGAAAAGCTTTTCACTGAATGAAAAAATTAGCTTTTTTTGGTAAAGTGGATATTTTTTTCTGAGAATTTGTTTACTAATTTGCATATAAGTAGTTTTAAATTACTGAGATTTAAAGTATGTGAACTTACTGTTTTTAATAAAATTGCAACATTTCAACAAGACAAATCTCCATGAAAATATATGGCGTATTGGCAGTAAGCCACATAGACAATAACAGTATATAAAAGTTTATTTATTGTACAAAGTAATTTATACCATTGTTTCTACTCAAGTTCACGTATTTGCCGACCTCCAGCCGCCATCATACATCCCTGTGGATACACCACATTTACCACAAAGGCCCCGCCTTTCGAGTACACGCTCCTACCGCGCCAGTCATGTGACTTCCATCACCCGTGCAATGCACGAACACGCTCCAGTCTGGACGTCGATTTTGCGCAAAGCGTGAGATTTTTCAAGATCAAACCTCCCCCGGAGAATCAGCTTATTTTTATACGGCCGGGCTCAGCCCACTTGCGTCACCGATGAGCGTGGAAGGGAGATTTGCATACTACCACGTGACACCCTATTTGCTCGGAGAGCAAAACGGCGTCCACTTGGTTCCAAAATATCTGCTACCCCGACGCGGTGGTACTACCCTAAACTATGAGAGCCTCCTCGCGTCTGCCCGGCGCCCTAGAGCTGCAGGGCATCCAACCTGACGCTACAAATGGTATTATTTTTTTTTAATTGTCTTCAAATTGAAAAAAAATCGTATTAGCGGCATTAATGTACACGATTCCAGCTCAAACAGCATCCAGAAAATGCGTTTTTCTACTTTAAGAATAATGCATAATAATTATGAAAGGTAAATACAATGCAAATTTACGAATTTTCAACGTGTCCCTCATTTTAATTGAGAAAGCACTCAAAAATTTGCCACTAGAACAGGACATCTCAACTCTATATTTAGAGATATAGGATACACGATAACGTGTTTTCGCAAACGTTAATCTTGTAAATTCATGAATGTCAATACAACGATATGATGACAACTTCTGAACGACGCGCTATATTTTAGAGGACAAATTATATACATTTTTATGAATCTAAATTAATGTGCATATCTAGATTCTTGTATGGATGACTAGCATGAGTAGAGTTCCTTGATTTTTTTTCTTCGTCTGCATTTCAATGTTGGATAATATCTGGTTTATTCTAGCCTGGCAAAGCTGTTCTCGGAGTATCAAAGAAGTATCTCGGTGCATTGGAAGGAAGAATTCGCACCACTGATTCGCTGATGTGTTACCGTCTCTAAATAATGAGAGTGTAATCTCAGCTGGAGCACGTTGGCGTCAAGTACGCAACGTCCGATTCCGTGACACCCAGCCTGTTGTTTACTCAGCGAGTGGCCAACGTCTCGACTCGTGGGCATAGTCGTTCTCGCTCAAACGCGACCACTCCCGCTCGGATGGACAAACGGGTAGGAACACCGCGAGGGAAGTTAAATTAAGGTCGGAATGAGTCATGAGTTGCGCGACAATGGCACCATTCGCGACGGTGACATGCGTAAATTTCGTCTTTCCTCCTCTCGACCAAACTATGGTAAGTAAGGTACGACTTGAAAAATATAAGGCGATAGTGGTGTAGAATGTTTTTGATAGAAGTAACGATAGTATTGGTTTAACACGCAATCTCTCTTCTTACTGACCGACTTTTGAGTCCTTCAAGCTGATGTAACTTTCAAATCAGAATCACATAAGACAGATTGTGACGGATTTTTAACAATAAAATTTCTAATTAATTTCCCTCAAATCAATTTACTCCTAATCACAGTTCTTTAGAAACATATGAAAGGCGAAAGGCTAGTATTGTGGTAGCTAATTAGTTAATAAATAGTTAAAGATTATATATTTGTTTTAATTACTTAATTAAAAATTATTTAATTCTGTTATTGTGGCGGTTAATTCTTATTATTTAATCCTTATTTAAATCTGTTATTGTGTCTACGCCGGCTTGATCAACCTCCTTTTAAAGATATTTTCCATCGAAATATCTAATCAACGAAATCTAAAAACAATTCTAGCAATTTCAAAAGGATCGTTGTTATTTTTGTTAAAGACCCATTAATTCAAGCTCTGCACCCGGCGCTTGCGGCGGCGCGGCGTCCGGCCTCCCTCTGCAGGTGTGCCCCAGGGCCTCGCGCGGCGGGAGGGTCGCCGGCTGCCGTGTCTGTGGGGCTGGCAGTGGCTGGGGGAAGTTTCGCGTGCCGAGCGGGGTCAACGCCCGCCGCCCCCGCACCCGGAAGGAGCCCGCCCGCCCGCCTGCCCGCCCGCTTTGCCACTCGGTCGCTCGGTCAGCGCGTGCGGGGCGACAACTAGGCTGCGAAGTGAAGTTAACGCTTACGCCCTTTCCAGGCCAGCGACCGATTTTGTGAAAACTTTAAAAACAGTTAGGCCTCGGCACCGAGCCACGTGGCTCCACCAAATGCATTTCCTGCCAAGCAAATTAATTGGAGCGCCAATCCATGAGGGCTCAAAACAGTGGCGTCTCCTGACCAGTGGGAATGTTTTTTTGGTCAAAACGTATCGTGTTTAACAATTAATTCACGATATATAGCGTGAATCATATATTTATAACTGTGTATTATATTTTGCAATCTATCTTCTGAATCTTCTTTGAGCAATGTTACTTTGGCATTCGTTGCTTTGATTCATATGCATTGCCACAAATGATGTGCTTGCCATGCCACATGTTTTCACGATAAAATAGTGGTATTCTAATGATCTAGTTACAGTTTCTAATCTTTGATTTTATTAGTGAGAGCACATTTTAGAAAGAGTATTACTATCTAATTCAAGAAAAATTTCACGCATCCCCAACAGCAAACACACGAAAAAACAGGCAACAACTCTTTGTCATAGTCGTAGACTGTTATGAAGACCAATTTGGTACTGGTTGTTCACGTCTGTTTTCTGGCTATGTTTACGCACTTTACAAGAATGGAATTTATTTAAGATCAAGTCGGAGACTTACACATTTGTCGAAAACAAGCCGCCTTTCCTTCGCATCCAGCGGAGATGTTCACAGCCGTGAACCTGATCTGATACCGAAAGAGCAATACTTAGGGCAGGAGTTACGCAAACGTTTTAAGGGAATGGATTCAGATGTCTATCTTTGAGAATTCCGTGATTCGACAGCCCAACCTTATCACGTCAGACTGCTCATGGCAGTTAGTTCAGTAACTTTGATAAGGAAACGAGGCGGTTGAAGGGGTATATCTCGGGTCGTCACATTCAGCGAGGAGACAAATGCCAATTGGAAATCGTACGGAAATAACGAAAGGTACTTACGGTACAAAGAAAAATGCACAAGGAAGATAAAAATATATGTAACAGAGAAATTATAAAAGGGCTAAAAAACTTGGGAAAGCGTCATATTATTAGCATCAATTTAGCGTAATCCAAAAAGCCTTCAAAGTGTTAGGTCAGTGCGTCGAATTCGAAATTAAAGAACTTGTTATAAGGAATGACTTTCTTTGTTCCGATATTGTCACTGAAAATAATACAGTATGAAGTGATTCTAATCATATCTCAAAGCAGATGAGAATATGGTCTGTGAATTAGTCATAAATTAGTCATCTCAAATTGTGAATTAGTCATCTCAATATTGTATCATTACTGTTGTAATTAAACTTGCAATACCCTAATATTTATTCAAAGAACTTTGCATGTACAATGATACTTAAAAAAGAGATTTTCAAGTACAATTTTCTTCAATTCCCATCAAATACCGCGAGAGGTGGCTCGAGTCATCTGATGTCACTGTGGTACCTCTGACCGGGAGGTCCTAGGTTCGAGTCTCGACAGTAACATGATTTTCGATACTAGCTTGTCAGATAGGTTCAATTCAGTGTCTCTCTCTGGAGGAGAATTCTGGCGACCAGCTGCTCTGATCGGTAGTTTTCCGTGGTTTCTCTGATCACACACCAGCCGAATGCCGGATCAGTACTATAACAAAGGGGCTACTGACCGCGTACGATCTTTCCTTCTTCTTCCTTGTCCTATCCTCACCCCTTACTTACACACACTTATACTAACATGCTCTACACTATCACACATGTCGGAAGACCGATCGAGAGCTTAGAACTTGTCCCGGCTGGGGCGGTGCCCCGGTGGTGGGAGATACCTGGTTGAGTGGAAAACCCCGGTAGTTGACGGCAGGTCGGTGTCGTATCTCGCCAGCCAGCGGGGGAAGGTCACCGCCATCGCCCGAGGGGAAAACATGCACTATTATGGGAATAATGACTTTAGATGTTGACGCGCTCGGAATCACTAACAATCAAACAAAGAAACATTTGAAATTGACATATTGAAAAAACTAGTAGTATTACAGAATAGCACAGACATTCTATTACTAGTTAGATTTCTAATTTCTTTAGCCTGTTATACCTTACCGGTTTTAGGCCAACCTCTTCTCAACTGTACCTACAGGTGCCTAAAATATTTTTTTCACAATTTCTCACGCCTTACGACTTTAAGAATATCATAGAAGAGTGAAATTTGTTTTAACTGAAAAAATATTGACAAATTTGGAACCATTTCAGAAAAAATATCTTTCGAGATTTTCTGAAAATAAGCAATTTTGAGTTAATTTTCTTTGAAAAGTTTTGAGGTTTCGAGAAACTTTATACGAAATTATTTGAAGCTTTGAAGTCTGATAAATGCAACGATGTAAAAGCGCTCATAATGTAAATATTAACTTCATAAAATATTACAATTGTAATTTTCCAAAAAACAAAAGACTATATAAAAATGGCGTTTATGTTGTCATTCAGTGCATTTAGCACTATTCTATCAAAAAAGGTTAATGAAAAAAATTAGGGCAATTTTTAATAAAATATTTTTATTATTTTATAATATTGCCCAGATATTCAAAATTGTGCAAACACTACTAATATTTTCAATTACAAAAAATGTTCATGATATTTATTAAATAACTGACTGTAAAGTAAATTTCGTTTCAAGAAAAAAATTATATCTTCAATATTGTAGCTGTAGGAAGGCGTTGAAAAATTCCAATTCTTCCCATTTTTGAAAATTCAGGTAAATCCGTAAAAATCGGATCTATGCCATCTTCAAAAGTGTGTTTTTCACCGTGTTCTTAACAAACTTTTTTATATATTTGCTCAGGCCATTGTATCTGCTTTACAGGGATTGTTTTAGTGTAAGTAACAACCTAAATCACAAACACCCAGAAGTAAATACCTAAAAGGAAAATACATTTCAATAAATAATGTAACAAAAGGGTAGCATTCATATATTGCAATCATTTTTAGATAAATAGAAATAAGGAAAGCCCATAGGTTCCTCATTATTTTCAAGTAAATTTGAAGTTAAATCTTTGTATTGATCACTGTTTGGAAAGATTTATGGAGGTTAGAATTTTAACGAATTCTTTTCAAAATTGTAAGATCTCGAACCGGTCTAGAAAGATTGTATATTTTTTGTGGCAAAAATCCTACAAATAGTTTACACTACCATTCATCACGCAATAAACAGACGGACAGACTGACTGACAAACGTTTTGGGGGGAAAACCTTTTCCAGTAACGGGGGACCCAAAAAGTGTATTTTCGTTGAAATCTCAAACTGATTTTCCGCAAGCATTACAGCAACTCTATCTATACAATGTATGTTACTCCCTTTATTCTTATGCATACCAGAAAGTAATACTGAGTACCATAACGATTTTCCAAAGCTCGTGAAATTTATTTGGCGTGGATGAGTATCAAAATAATTGATAACGTGATTGTTTCAACTAAGCCCTTTTCAGTTCCAAGTATGTTTTCTACACTCTTTCAGCTTTTGACTCAAACACTGACAAATTTACTTTGCTTCAGAAATACATGAACACAATGTGTCGAGCGCATTGTGCCGCCAGGGCCAAGGGACGAAGCAGAGGGTCGTGTGCCGAATGGCGCCATTCCGCGCCAATGAATCTCCACGCGCCGCTCCCCGAGCTGGGGACGGGACGCCGCGGAACCGGCCCAATCACTCTCGTCGCAGGAACTGTTCAAGTAAGACTAAAATGAAATTCACTTGAAATGGAAATTCTCTTTCAAATTGTATGGATTCAGCGACAAGATGTCACTTACGTTTGAGATAAACGCTTCTATTATTATACTAATTTGTAACCGTATTGTTGCCGTTTGCGTGTTGGTAGCGAGTGCAAAGATAATGATTTTCTGATTACATAATTTTGTTAGTGATGCAAAATTCTATCCATTCTTTGCTTTCTTGAATTAGAAAATCATAATTAGTAAAATATATGAAAGTAGTTTGAACCGTGCGATCATTTCGCACTTCGCAAACTGATCTTGAAACGTTTCACAGCCACATCGTTTGGCGACCCTTTCTCCATCTTGGGCCGTAACTCGTAGCGCGGGGAACGCGTGGAGAACGAGACGCCGTGCTTCGACTGCCACGCCCCTCAACGGGCCTGAGCGCCACGGACACTGAGGTAAGATAGTATCACGGCAAACGTGAGAATAGTGATTGAAGAGCAGAACAGAGGGAGTGAAACAATGGAATGTGTAGTTAGGTATATAATGAAAATGAAGTATGAATGTTGTGTAAGTGAAAACAAAGTAATGCAATTAACCTAAATAGATCATTACTAAAAGAACATTTCCTAATTTAAGGAAAAAGTTCAAACTAACGATGCAAAAGAGCATATGCTATTTTATATTTACAATTAAATGGAGCTAAAATTAAGTTCGTTTTTGTTAGTAAATAAGAACCCCCCTGAAGCTACTTAAGTAACAAGGATAGTGAGAGGAAAAAATCTCTCAGAGGAGGGGATAATTAAAACAAAGATTAAAAGTAACAGAATTCTAAATTGTGACGTGTGTTGCAACGTAACGAGTGTTGCGGGTTAAATAGTAAGTGTCTGCATATTTCCATATTTCAAAATCTTCCAAATTCTATTTATTTCCTCTTAAATCTGTGTGATGCATCCCTGAGGGGTAACTCCCTACCCAGCTGAAGCACGTTTGCGAGGCCGTGTTTCGCAAGGTGAATGTCTTCGGCAGAAGCGTTGGACTGCGCCTCCGCTTGGGCCGCACGCGGACGGGGCGCGCTGCCGCAGGGGAACTGGAGTCCCAACAGGCGTTTAGCGGGAAAGGGCACCAGCTCGACGTTTCCGATGCATTATGAGCGAGGGAAGAAAGTCGGTCTTCGGCCTTGGCCGGGGCCGTGAAACTTTCATCAGGCTTCGATCGGAGCCTCAGCAGCGCAATCGTATCCGAGGGGCCACCGCCACCCCAACCCACCTCTCCTCTCCCCCTCCTCTCCCCCTCCTCTCCCTCACGCCCTGCCCTTCTACCCTCTTACCAACCTACCAGTCTTATTATTAAATTAATTTGGACTGTGTTAATGTCTAAGCAGTAGATAAAGTACATTCAAAAACCGCACAGGAACACCGATTATATATTACAATACGCAACATTATACAAATTAAATTAATTTTTAGCAGTTAAGTGAAGAGGCATTTAATTCAGTGTTTACATAACCTTTCGCACCCGGCTCGCGTGCTCTTGGCACTTTTTTTAACCATTTGTACAACTATGTTCTGCAGCAACCACTTCCTTAAATTTTAAATAACATATTTAATAGGCCATGTCTCAGTCCGATTACGTTGTAGTAATCGCTGAAACTGTTTCGTCATCCTTTCGTGCTGAGGCGGAACATATTGATATGGCCCCGAGCAATCGGCAGGGGCGTCAGCAGTCGGACCCTCTCACAATGGGCTGGCGGTGTGTGTTGGAGTCGATCTCAGACGACGGCTGCGGTGGTGTTTCGCTCACCCATACGACCAGCGCCGACCTGCCAATGCCTGATGATAGCAGTTACCAGACCAATGCGACCATTAGCAATTCTTCAATGATAAGTTATTCTGCAGTCAGTTCTAATTAACTATCTGCTCTATGGACATTATGTATATATAAACTCGCTATTACTGGTGTTCTCGCGGATTGCTAGATAGCCATGCGATGGAATAATAATGTAATGTTTGCCCCATCATTTTTTTCCAAGATCTACCAAATAAGTCTATTCGTTCGGATGTGCTCGGGAACGCTTCTCGCATGGACAAACTGAGAGTTCGTCCGTTTTTACCACAGAGTATCTGTGTCATTATCAAAGAGTATCTGTGTTATTGCCAGAAATATTGTTCATTACAAGAGCAGCTTTCGATGACTTAGCCATCAACATCAGTTTCCTGGTACAATAAATACAAACAAATTAAAATATTAGAATTAATATGTTACTAGTAGTACATAGTTATACAATACATCGAAAGCTGATCTTGTAATAAACAATATTGTTGACAATGAAAACTCCTTGAATTATATCAATTTAAATGCTAATGACAACTCACCGCTAAACCAATATTGCATGGAGAAGCTGCAGGCTCGTTATTTCTCTCACAGTTTATAACATACGTAATTTTTTCAGCTCTTCTTCCCATCAACAGAGCTATCCATTCTCCGTGAATGTCGCTTTCTGTCAGTCCTCTGATACAAAAGACGAGTAGTACAGGTTAGTCGGCAACCGATCAAATTTGAAATTGCCCTCAGCGGAAAATTTCGACATTCCTGCCAAAGCGAGCTTCCTCTGGGCGGGCTTTATTAAAATTTTGTTAATGTCATTACTGGGGACTGTCCGCCCGCTCTAGGATAATTGCAGCGACGGCTGAAATGCAGTTTCCATGCAAATTTTCTTGATTTCCGGGGGAAGACTGATGTGGGTGAAATGGATTTTGCCTGATGAGGCACTTTTCTGTCGAAAGGACGTGGACATCCTCCGCGCCAAGCATTTGGTGGGGAGCGTATTTACAATGAGTCGCTGCATTGAAAATTTGTAGACGTCTTTGGACACGTGGCAGTGGAGAATGTGGCACGGCAGTGGCGGCGGCTCAGCATAGTCTCATGTGCATCAACATAATTAACAATCTCAAAATTTTAAAAGACTGGAATAAATTAAAAGTATATTTTTGCCACAGATATTGTGCTTCTCCCCGCAAGGAGGGAGCTAATGTCCGAAGGGTCGGAGGTTTCTTGCTGGAGGTTGCTTACGTCCACAAGAACCCTACATTCTCGGCAGTACTTCTGCCGATAGCTCCAAGCTGGATGCAGTGAAAAGGCGGCGCTAAGCTACTGGTGACAGGTGTAGTCCGTTAACCCACCAGTTGGACCGACCATTGAACTGGATAGGGTGCGGGATTTGTTCCGAAACCCACATAAAAACGTCCGACAGGGAACACGAAATCTCTCGTCAAGTTGCTCTAGATTCCAGCGATATTCACGTCGATAGCGTCAAGGTGGTTGTAGTGAGGAGACGGGTTGGGGGCCCCGAGCCACCTGGACTTCAATGTGGGCGACTCCGTTGTGCATTTGGCTTCGTCATTGCAGTGTCCGATACTCATGAGTTATTGATCAGGGATTCGTCCCGGCGCAATGTGAATGGTGCTAAATTACACTCCGATGCTAGCCAGGACAGTAGTACCTGTAAGTTGGCAGAGTGGCCCTACCCAGGCTTAATTGGCGTGGCGCCCTGGCGGGGTGCTGCGTTCTGGCGTATTCTGAGGTGCTCTTAAACACCTACGGGGGAGGGGGCATGGATAAAGACTAACGCCTAGGTTCCCACCCTTGGAAGTAAAACCCTCCTGGTAAGACAAAGAACGTGTGGGTATTAGCAGTCCACGCAGAGTGAATGCTCTCATAAGTTAATTAAGTCAAGTCAGCTTTCTTTTCACACAACCTGCTCGTTCTACAACCCTTGAAACTCCGGGAACCGTCAAACCTACCAACATCGGGGTGTTTTGACCTCCGCTCACATTTTTTTGGAAAATAGTCAATTTAATCATTCTATGAAATATATATTTTTTTCTTTCAAAATACAGCTTGTCATCATTCAATGAACCGATAAATTCTGTCACGTATGCGCGTTTTCGTAGTTTCGGGTTATTTTGACACATGTTGTAGAACAAATGTTAAACAAACGGTTACACTTTCTAGATCGAAAATCTTCAACAGTTTCTTATTGGTAAAAAAATTTTAATCCATTGTAGGTATTTCTTATTTCTTCACATTGTCTTTGATCGTACTACAGCAGCAACTCCTATTTGTTTAACAACTCATTAATATTAAATTCACTCCGGAAATGCATCCTGCATTTTTTTCTATGTTTACTAGAGACCACAGAGGTGTGAAGATGTAGCATATAGTGCTCTGGCTCGCCGCGCGCTTCCTAACATCGCTTCCAAAATGCAAAGCTGCAGATTCGTGAGTCTCCTCAGCTTCATCGCTAATCAAACGGATGGTGTTTTCTCTGAGTGCTCAATCTTTTTCTCATTAATAAGCCGTACTTTAAAATATATATTTTTGTCTCTACAGTTTTCATTTCCTATTTACTCGCTTTAGTTGAGATTGTTGAAAATATGCACAGCCGTTCACACTGAATGCTTTTTGGAGATGAAAAAATACCCCCATATCCCCGCTGCGTCCAATCTCGCGCAAGCAGCTTCGTGGACCGATTGAGCTGGAGACTTAATATCATCGTCACTGACGCAGATGGAAGGTTCTGAACTTAATTGTAGTGAAAATTGGCCAGGTATCGTGGTAAAGTGAAGCACGATCCTTGCGATTGATTAGTCCCGTCCCGTTCATGTTGAAATTTCTTTAACTTAATGCACCGCCACCGAATAGGTAACACAAATTATGAACATTTTTGTGTGAAAATGAAGTTCCAAATGCAAGGTATAAAAATAAATTTCAAAATTTCTGGTTTTAAAATATTCCCGTTAATTCAAAAAAAAAATTGAAAAATAATTATGAGCTGCGTTCTTTACTCTATGATTTAGTAGTATTGAGCGGAATCTTTATTTCGAGATCATGAACTGCAAAATTTTAGTGGTACAGATAATTCCGATTTATACAATTTAATTCTGAGATAAGGAAAGTGAGACCTCCGATATTCGCAAAATGTGACCTTCGTAAATCGCGCCTCTTTGATCACGTAGGGATAAGAAAGCGGAGGCATGAGGAGGTTCGAGAAGGCCCTGGTCGAATTATTGATATCGACCACTCCCCCCCCATCCATGAAACGTCACCTTCCCCCCCCGACCCAGCGCAGCGCGCGAATGCTCGTCGCAACTACTAGGCCGTCGATCCCAGAACATGTTTACGATAAAACATTCAAATATAAAAAATAATTAATACCTATGGCATATTTCTCCTGGAAAAACAATGAAGGGTAATTTGTTATTTATGCCAAATTTATTTTTTAAAGAAACAGAGTAAATTGACAATGTATTAACTACCCTGCTTTACTTCCTCCTCCCAGCCCTTCAAGGGGGGGG